CGTGAACATCCTGCAGCGCAGCTGACTGTCGGCGCGGAGCAGGAGGAGCACCGGGGTCAAAGGGCTTCCTGTCCTTCAGCATAACCCAACCAAGTTTCATTTTACTCATCAGATCCCAAATATTTCTGTATCGTTTTTATAATGGACTGTTAGATTGTGTCGCCAACAGCATCATATATGCCAGCTGTCTTTTTTTTGTCTTTATACAATTAAATTATTATGCCTGAGAGGTAAATTATTGGTCAGCCGGACAAAAAAAATTACTTTCTATTTCCACTCTAATGGCGCATATGGCTGACCGATGGTTCTGATTTACTTGTTTTGTTTTGTTTTACGTGAGTTTTAGTCCAATCAGTCGATGGGATCAATGTGAGCAGTGAACTGGTCTTCCTGTTTCCACTTACCTGCTTTGAAAATCCTTAGAAAACCTCTATATAAATACACGTTTTGCTCCCAAAGTTACAAAAACCTGGACGACTATCAGAGAGCCGGTCGGCTTGTCTGTAAGCTAAAGTGTGGATTTCCTGGAAGTAAAGAGTTGAGGTGCTTTTTAGATCTGAGAAGAGTGAACGAAACCAGCAAGTCCAGGACACAATACACACACACACACACACAAATACACACACGCAAAATTGAATCCACTATATTCAACACTGTATAAAGAAAACACATTAGGCGAAGATGAATTATAAAGTTACTTGATGAAGCTTATTTCTGGGAGTGAGACATGGAAAAGAAAGTATGTTTGTTTATTTTTCTCTTGAATTTGTTTCTAAGTGGTGCTTTATGAGGCATCAGGTGGATCTGCTCTTTCAGCTTCCTGACAAACCCAACATATGGATTTATGCTGGGGGATTCTGTCATATTTCACAGCACTTCGAAAACACCGTTGAATATTTCATGTCCGGTCCACTCCTGTCTCCGACCTCTGACCTCTGGGAACCAGCTGCCGTCATCACTCCACAGCACCATCAGGCCGTTTAGCCTGGAAGTTTTTGTCTGAGCTGATGAAAGTTCCTCGGGTTTTTCTTTTCGACGTGTAACAGCCGTCGGAAGCAATCAGACGCCTGCAAAACACAGAACTAAACTGCTTCATGTTTTCTACGCGAGCTGCTGCTCCCTCCGTCTACGTCTTCAAGAGACTCTGACCGTCTTTTCCTGACTCCGTTTCACTCAAGTCAAAAGTCTTGCCGGGTTGCGATGCTGTTGTGGGACAGTAATGGGAGAGGAGAACCCAGTGTACAGCTCTACTAAAGAGTAGAGAGAATAGCTTGTGTATTTGTAATTTGTACATGAACAAATGGCTTTTTCTGTGAATTCATAACATAATGTACATTAAACCCATTGGTAATAAACCACAAATTGTTTTATTTAATGGTACTTCTTGGTCCTTTATTCCCCATCTTTAAACATTTAATTAATATGATTATGAGATATACTGAATAACTGCCTGCCATACCCACCCAGCTGTGAAATAAAAAAGTTTACAAGTTTGAAATGTTTATTGTTTTAACTATCTTCTCATATCAAATTTGCCTATTTTGATTTTTCTTTTCATTTTGCTCAAATTATTTATCCAGTGCGATACTATGATCTTGTCCATCTTTGAAGTGTTCCAGGTTTTGTAGTTTTGTAGGGTGATCCAAATGCATAAAAAGGACTTTATGTCCTTTATGTCAAAAATCAGATAAAGGTCTCACAAATCACAAAAATGTGGGGAGAAAAAATATTCCCCATTCCCTGAGGGGAACTCACAGTATTGCATCTTTAAAGTGACCCTGGATTCAAACTGAATACTCAGTTTCGGTGATCAGTGGGGAATAAGCCTTGACCCTGACTTATTTAAAATTCTGCGGAAAGAATGATTGGATTATAGATTCCCCAAAAGAGACATCGCTTTGATGAAACTCATTAAAAAAGCAGCTAAAAAACATTACTGTTCAATTTCATGTATCTTTATGTCAACCAGGAACAGAACTTACTGACTCCCATCATCTTGGCCTCTGTGGTTTTGTCTCTGCCACATCTGTTGCAACTTAGCGAAGTTCATATGACCGCAGACAAATCCAGTCCCTGTCCCTGACACGGACACTATTCCCTGATGTTTCTGTGTCTTTCGGCTCAATAACTGTTGCTCTGGTCAGGATAGACCTCAGCACAAAAGCACCGTTTCAGGAGTAAAAGATTTCAACAAAAAATGACTCCAGCCATTAAAACATGTGGCGATAATGTGATAATGTGGCGAGACTGAAAGATAAGAATGCTTCCAAGTGTTCAAGAAGCCATTTAAACATGTCTGAAGTAACAAGATCCTGTAGATTTGAAGTGCTTTGTTGTTCATGACATGCAGAAGGAGCAGAATACTAAAACCCCAGATTTTATTTAGCTTATCATGGACGCCAAGAAGAATCAGGAAGAAGCCATGAGAACCAAGATGGCAGCTCTCAGCATATCTCTGGACCTGTAGGTCTGATGGAGGCAGAACAAGACATGCCACTGACCCATAACCACATGAAGATGCTCATAAGGATCAAGAAGTAGAACTGCCACTTCATCTGTCAGCCTCAGTTTCTCTGAGAGCTGTGTGTGTGTGTGTGTGTGTGTGTGTGTGTGTGTGTGTGTGTGTGTGTGTGTGTGTGTGTGTGTGTGTGTGTGTGTGTGTGTGTGTGTGTGTGTGTGTGTGTGTGTGTGTGTGACGGCCAGAGTGTCTGATGACGATGGTGAGCTTGCAGGAGCCTTTCAAACAAAGCTTGGATCTACTGTGTGTTTTAGTTTTGCAGGAATAAAGTGCTGAATGTGTTTCTGTGCTGAGGATCAGATTCAGTCAGACTTTGTGTTTCAGTAAAACTGTCACTGAGAGATGTTGGCTGGATCCCCTGAACCTCGACCGTGTTTCCAGTAAACTCAAAGTCTATTCATAGACTGAGTCTCTCTATGTCTCACTCGCTCACTCACTGTCCATCTGAGCTACTGCTATAATAATTATTATTATTATTAACCATTATCTGAGTGACCCATGTATCCTCTGATAGACCAGGATCTTGGTCTGCACGTCTTGCCTGGATTTCTATGAGGTACGTTGTTCACACACAACTTTAGAGTTAATACTGTGTGTGCTGTGTTTTCTCTGATTATGTATCTAGAAAGTAACTCTGTTCTCTCTCTGTGTCATGCTTCTGAGGAAGTATCTGTTCTATTTCTGTTTTCCATGGACAGCAGTGAGTGGTGGTTTGGGAGTAGCACAGCATCAAGCTGCAGTCAGCTTTTGCTGAACGGAGTCAAAGGTCACAGTGTGACAAAACACATGTTAGGTCCAGGGTTGGTGTGGATCGCCACGGACAGACTGAGCAGCAAAACCCAAAATAACAAACCCGACTGGACTCTCACTTCGTATTCCCAGCATTGCTAATGCAGCACAATGAGGAAAAAACGCAATACTACCAACATAAATGTTACACTTGATGCTGCCTCTAAAGAAAAGATGCAGAATGTTTCCACTGCAGACGAGATTAAAAATGAAACAATTGAAAAACAGCAGAATTACTTTCATGTTTGCTTTCTGCTTATTCTCACAGAACCGTCACATCATCGGAGCCAGAGAGTTGCCACATCTTACTGAATCACTGGTTTGCTCAGTACTGCCACAGCTATTATACATTTGATCTTATTATTCTAGCCTGGCCACTCAATTCTCATCTCTCTCCAGTTCTTCATCTGGAATTTCTTCCATTGAGCTCAACTCCTTGGATTTCAACCAGTGAACAGGAGGAGGAGTCGAGAACGACAGCATCGGTTTTCTGAGCTGTTTTAGAAACGTGGCCTGCCTGCCGTTGTAGTTTTATTAATGGCAGCGGAGGAAATGAGCAAAGCCATTCCTTCCATGTTGGTCACACTTCCAAATATTGAGCAACTGAAGTCGGATTAAAAGGAAAGTTTAAGGCATTTTATTGCTGGCAAGAGACATAGTTGGACTCAGTGCTTCTCTCGTCGCAGAGAGGGAAAGTTGTTTGCAACGCAGGCTTCACAGCCGCTGAACTGATGCATGACAAACCATATCCAACATTAACGACTGGACAAAATCTAGGTTCCCGTCAGTGGCTTTAGAACGACAGCTTAATCTCACCATGGCTGTTCTTTTATCTTAATTCAAATATTGATCATGAGTGAATTTCAGGAGATCTCAGTGAAACACCAGCCAGTCTTCTCGGTCTCACCGCAGTTTCCAGTAAACATCTAATCAAACCCGAACCCCATTCCCAACACCGTGAGACATTTCCATAAAAGAGACACCAGATTCCCGCACGGCGGCTGTGCTGCCAGCTGAATGTGTGTGAAACAATCAGAACTGGAGCTGGATTCTTTTTGTGCAGCCAGACAGCAGGATGTGTTGCCAGTGCTTTTGTTTAGGCAGACCTTTTTAGAAGCCCAGAGACAAAAACAATGTGTACAACGTCATCGGAGTGGAATATAGGATGGGTTGACCCTCAACAACAATGCAGCGGTGCTCACATGGCCTGGCTCCACCCTGCCTGTCGGTTATCACTCTGAGAGAACGCAAAAACAAATGAAAGCTTGCAACACTGTGTCACATTCACAGAGCAACGTTCTCCTGAACTGTTTTTGGAATCTGCCGCAGGAAGACACACACACACACACACACACAAAAACAAAGATGAACATGCTCACGAGTGTGTTGTGATACATTTCCTGCACACATTTTTTTTTTTCCACGTCGCCTTGTGTGAGCTCTATATTTAGCCTCCCTTAACTCAGGCAGGAAAACTAAGTTGGGAAAGAATTGAAGGAAGTCTAGTGGTCATTTAGACAAACAAAGCTCACACACAGAGCTCTGCGCTGGCTGAATACACATCAGTATGTGTAGCTGAACAAAACAAAGACTTCAGATGAGAGAATCTGAGAGACCATCTGAAGAGAGGAGCTATGCTGAATGGAGAGGTCTACTAGATTTAACTGGATTCTGCTTTTTAAGCTAGGCCTGAGAGAAAAAGGAAATTGTTGGACCCCTGGACATGTTGAAAGGCTGCGTCTATGACTTGTGTGGATAGCTGCCGGGTATAAAGCGAGGTAAGCTGCACGTGTAAACTTCAGCAATGATTATGACTTGCAGTTAGTTCAGTCTGCCTGGCTGAGATACCAACTGAGAAACATCTTCGTTTTACAGTTAGTCTTTTATGTTGGGTTTGTTCAAATCTGCATGTTTACTGTGTTATCAGGCATTTTTCCCCAGAACCAGTTCAACCAAGATTGAATTGGACTTGACATCTTTTTTATTCTTGGTGGCTGTGTAAGTCCAGGCTTACTCTCGCAGTGACATCAGGGTGTGTGACTATTGCAGGACTTCTTCTTCTGCATGCTACACATTGATACCAATGTGTATCAAATGATACACATTGGTATCAAAAGCAGATGGAAGTGTGATTTAAAAGTGAATATCTGTCAGCTTTGAGGGAGAGGCAGGTACATGCTGCTGCTCTATCACAGGACCAACAACCAAACACACAAGGGAATTTTAAGTGATCAGTTGAGAGAGAATCCATATTTTTAGACAGTGGAATGGAAACTGAAGCGACATGCATGCAGAAATGCTCCTGGCTGCGTCTCTAGCCCAGGGCAGGGCAGCAGCCAACAGGACAGTGACTGGATGTTGTGACTGGAGGCTGTACATGTAACACACTGATGTGGTTTTAAGAAATCAGAAAACACAACAACTCGTCCCTGCAGTGCAGGAGTTGCAGACATTTAGGAAGAGCAGCACCAACTCCATTGCATCAACTAATCAGAATAATTTCTCATTGACCTGTTAGTTGTGCACATGCATGGAGCGAACTGATGGTAATCCGACTCCTCTCTCTGTTTGTACCTGAAAGCTCTCCATTTAGTCATCAGCAGTTGCTGGTGTTATCACCTTTAATAATTAACCCACCAGGACTCCACTTTCCCACATGTTCCAACTACGACCTGAACCAAGTTCTTTTGACATTTGCTACACAGTATGACATGTGAGCGAGTCTGTCGGAGACTGCTCTTAGATTAGCAGTCGATTTTGGTTTTTGAAACACCTAAAACTATTTTCGACCATTGATTCCTAAATAGACATGCAGTTCTTTTCTCAAGTAGGAGGATGGCTCCAACTGTGACAGACCGCCGCCGCTGCCAGCACCACCAGGGACAAGGGTGTATAGAAAATGGATGGCAGTTTCTCTATTGATCAATGACATGATTGTTTACTTAGTGCTGAGCAGGTGGAGATGAATAAAAAGAGAAACGTGATTGTGTTAGTGAATTCATTTCATAAAACCAACTTTTAGAGCGTTGAGTCTTTGTGTCCATTGACTCATCGGGCCGCTGGCTTTGTCAGCTGAGCCCCCTGTGAAAGCAAACGTCGCCCTGAAGAAATCCAACAAAATGGCTGGTGTGAAGAGACCCGGGCGAGTGGTTCCCCTTCTCTGTTCGCATGGTAGCTGTTAGCCACCAAAACTGATTAACTGATTTGAGTTGGTGGAAATATGCAGGATGTCTGATGTTTTTCGCTGCTGGTGAATGTGTTTGTCAGATAATCGGTTTTCAGTTCAGTTGTAGGAAAACAGATCTTCCATTCATCCCTGTGAGTTGTCAGACATATCTGACTCTGATCCTGTCCTTAATTTACAGTAAAGCCAATTAGTAGCACTGTTAAGAAAGTTCTTGAAAATACCACCTGCTATCTTCTGTTTACATAACACCAAGAAGGAACAGACTGGACACCCGTCCGTCCGTCCAACTGTTTTCTTACACACTTGTCCCTGACAGAGTCCTCAGTGTTGCTGGTGTCCATCTCCAGCGGTCAACAGGTGAGAGGCGGGGCTTCACCCTGGACAGGTTGGCCTTCTATCGCAGCAGATTGAATATATATCAATTTTGTCTCAAGAATTAAAACTTTGATATAGTTGGTCACATCGTATTTATGTTTCACAAAACCAATCCTTTCTGTGTTGGGAATTATGCCCGTCTACGTGAGGATGATCCCATTTGTTTTCGCTCAGAATATTAAGCTCTAGATGTGGAGCCTTCATGAAAACATGTCTGCATCGGTCTGCGCTTCCACGGGCGAGGAAGGAAGCTGCGGCACAGCGTGTTCTTGACGTGCGTCCTCGTCTTTGTGGAGTGAAGAGCCGGTGCTTCAGTCCACTAATGAAGTCCATCAGTGTGCTCCAGGTCCATTAGGCCGATGTACAACAATGTGTCCTCACTCTGCCGAATGTCAAGTGGTTGCATGAAAGGCCTGATAGAGGAAGCGTACACACTGTACATGTCGTCATTGTGAATATGCCTCACTCTGCCGCACGTTTGGCATGAATTAATAATAGTAGTCTGTCACAATCACGCCTGCTTGTCACTTTTTATCCTGCATCTGTTTTTTTGTTTGATCCAGAGGATGGGTCATCAGAGGTCAGCCTGTTTTTATCTGTAAATGTGAGACACACTGACGTCCCAGTTATACCTCACCCTTTACTGCACCGAATCAACTCAACCCCTCCTCCAATTATGTCCCCATTTCCTGATTTTCCAACCTGCTGAGGCTCAATCTAACTATAAACTAACGAGGCAAATTAAACAGATACGCAAAGAAACAGGCAACATGTTTTTATCTCAGTTCCCATCTGTTTTCTAGAACCTAATCTTTTCAAAGTCAGTTTGATTATTCTTTGAGTTTTTCTCAGTGTGTACATCGTCAGGGTTAAGATGGGGGCAGCCCAGCTGTTTACCTTCAGCATCAATACGATTTAATGCAGGTTGTCCCAAGACTCGCACTGAAGTCCTTCACACCGAAGGGTTTGAGTGAGAAGTGTGTCCTGATTCTCTGGAATGATTTTTCAGAAGATCTTGGTCAACAACAATCTCAGACATTGTGCCTTCAGGCCGTTAGACCATCGACATTAACAGGTGTGGTTCTCCTATCTGAAAAATGTGCCTTTCTTTAGACGAAAATGCTTTTCATGAAACAACAGCCTGGTGAGGACGTCGGTCTGCATTCACCTCTTAAATAACAATCTATGACGTCCAAATGGTTAAAAACTCTGAATTATTCATGCGTTCTGACTCCTCACTCTGGTTCACATGTTCAGGCCAGAGGCCAAAATGATATCTTGTGCCTCTGCATTGAATCATCTCCATTTTCTTGTCTTCCAGCTTATACTTGCGCAACAATAAATCAGCTTACATGTACTTTTTATGACCGAAGCTCATCTTTCACACTGTTGAAAGCCACTGGCCAGAGAATGTCGCTGGGTTCCATCTGGGGACGGTTTTTTTTGTCAACGCCTCGTCTTTTGCAGTTTTTTTCTCGCCTGCAACAAAATCGACTGTGAGCATGTTTGTAAATATATTCAAGTAAAGGTTCAACCAGACAATGTATCCAACTAGAAAATGGTTTTGTAGGACTGACACTCATTTACACCAGGTACTATGAAATTTAGAAATGTAGAAAACTGATCTTGTCTGCAAACGTCATGTTATTTTTCATCTTGGAATCCGCTAGGAAACAAAACAGTAAAAGGATCTAAATCCTAAAATGAAGACGCATCCATTACAAAGAGGCCAACTCCGTGCTGATGTGCTCTTGCTTGGTTAAATGTTGTTCTGCCGCTTTTTAAGCGAGTTGAAGGCACGACAGAGTGGTTCTGTCATAAGGTGAGGTGGGGTGGTGGAGGTGGTGAGGCAGACGCTAGAGACCCAGGTAAGTTGACGGTGGTGTAATTTAATAACAAAATAGTCCACAAAAACTCAGTCAATAAACGGAGTCCGCGGCCAGGCAGCACGGCTGAGCGGAAGCCAGGGCTCACACCGGTAGCAACTGGTCTTACAGGCGGCTAAACAACACAAAACGGCAGACCAAGGCAAAAGTACGACAAACGACAAACAAAGACAAGGACCCGACGAGGAACAAAGGACACAGGAGGGACTAAATACACTGAGGGTAATCAGGGGAACAAGACACACCTGGGAACAATCAAGGGGAAGACAGGACAACGAGGAGAACTCAGGACACAGAAACTCGGAATTAAACACAGAAAAACACAGAACCTGACAGTACCCCCCCCCCCCCTTAAAGGGCGGCTACCAGACGCCCAAAAACAAAATCCAAAAACCAGGGTGGGCGGAGGGGCGACGGAAGGAGGGCCAGAGTCCAGAAAACAAAAAACTACCCACAAAAGGTGGGCGGAAACACAAGGAGGGGCCAAGAGTCCAAAACTAAACAGAAAGAGGGCAGAGGCGTCGAGGGGGGTCCGGAGGGCGTCCTCGGCGCCCGCGGCAGACCCCACGGGGGAGGTCCGGAGGGCGTCCTCGGCGCCCGCGGCAGACCCCACGGGGGAGGTCCGGAGGGCGTCCTCGGCGCCCGCGGCAGACCCCACGGGGGAGGTCCGGAGGGCGTCCTCGGCGCCAAGGAGCACTAGGGGACTCGGGAGGAGCACTAGGGGACTCGGGAGGAGCACTAGGGGACTCGGGAGGAGCACTAGGGGACTCGGGAGGAGCACTAGGGGACTCGGGAGGAGCACTAGGGGACTCGGGAGGAGCACTAGGGGACTCGGGAGGAGCACTAGGGGACACTGGAGGAGCACTAGGGGATCTCGGAAGGAGCAGAGTCCACGGAGGCCGGAGCGGAATCCGGCGGAGCAGGAGCAGGAGCAGGAGCCGGAATCCGGCGGAGCAGGAGCAGGAGCAGGAGCCGGAGCGGAATCCGGCGGAGCAGGAGCAGGAGCAGGAGCCGGAGCGGAATCCGGCGGAGCAGGAGCAGGAGCCGGAGCGGAATCCGGCGGAGCAGGAGCAGGAGCAGGAGCCGGAGCGGAATCCGGCGGAGCAGGAGCAGGAGCAGGAGCCGGAGCGGAATCCGGCGGAGCAGGAGCAGGAGCAGGAGCCGGAGCGGAATCCGGCGGAGCAGGAGCAGGAGCAGGAGCCGGAGCGGAATCCGGCGGAGCAGGAGCAGGCAGGAGCCGGAGCGGAATCCGGCGGAGCAGGAGCAGGAGCCGGAGCGGAATCCGGCGGAGCAGGAGCAGGAGCCGGAGCGAAATCCGGCGGAGCAGGAG